CGAGTCACGGGGCTCCCATGCACGGGGCTCGCGCCGCACAGGCGCACACCCGCGGGGTCAAACCCCAGTCGCTGCGGGGGGGCACCGAGGACTGGGTCCCCCACAGCAGGCGGATAGCAAGGGCCACATCCACGGGTGCCCGCTCGGCTCTGGTTTGGGCCTGGCCTTGGCTGCCTTGCTCCAAGGGCAGCGTGGCCCTGGCCCTGGCGCTGTCCCCAGGGAGTCAGGAGCGCCGTGTGGAAGGCCAGGCACCTCCTGTTGTACAGGCACACGGACGTGGCGTGGCTCTGAGCGCGCTCCAGACCTGCTACCAGAAATGGGTAGTGGAGGATGGAGAGAGGACATGGCCAAAGCCACTTGGCACGAAGACGCTGGCACAGGATCTCCCAACTCCCCCCTAGCGGGGAAGGGGGCAGTGACAGCGAGGGGGGGGAGGAGACCAGTGGAACTGAGGACAGCGACAGTCCTCCGGCGGGAGCCAGGGGGACCGCGACACGGACGACAGGTGAACTGAGGACATGACCCGGCAAGCCCTGCAAGCGGGGTGGGGATGAAAGGAAGGGGTTGCCTGGTCTGAAAGACCAGAGGTTGTTTGGGTGTAGCTCCTGAGGCAGATATTGTAACGGGTCCAGGTGGCCAGCGGGCCTTTGAATGGGTACACAGGATGCAAGGGTGTTGTTTTCTAACAGGTGAAGGTTTTCTTTGTGGAGTGATACTTGGAGTGTAGATATATATAACCTTATATTTACCACCTCTTTAGGGAAACACGGCCTAGCTGCTTCCCAGAGACTGCCCAGTGGTTTCAACAAGCCTTCTCCTGGACTGTCCCTTGAGCACATTTATTCCAGGCTCCCACTTCATTTCTTCAGTGACAGGGCAGCAGCAGCAAACATGCAGGCTCCGTAAAGGCCTCCCAAACCAGTCCCTCCTTACTCACAACAGCAAAAGAAACACACAGATCTAGACAAACAAATAAATAGGCGTTTTCCTGCCTCAGTTCCTTCATCGCTCAGCACCTCACACAGAGGTGAGAGGCTCCATACCAGCTATGAACCGCCTGCCCAGAGGAGTTTTCCATCTATTGACTCCTCTGGGAAATCCTACGAAATATGAACTTTCATTTCTACCCAGGAGAACTTTACAATCTTTTCTCCAATGCCTGATGAAGGGTGCTCGTGCCTGAAAGCTTGCAGTTAAAGACATCTTTTTGTAAAAATGTTGTTGGTCTCATAAAACACATCAGCTCTACTACAAGCCCTGACTGCTTTTTTCTCTAGACCAATATGACTACAACCTGGATACCGCATCACTCAGAAGCATTTGTTGGGTTTGGGGTAGAGCACTGAAGGGCATTCAGGGTTCCCTTCCTGAAGCGCTGAGCTTCTCCAAATCATAGGCTCTCATTCTGACAACCACACAACAGCTTCTGCTCCTAGCCTGCAACTTGAGCCAGGGCCTCTCTCTGACTTTCCCTGTCTCTGAGGAAGGAGTTCTCCTTGTATAACTTCCCACTGTGCGGGCCGGCTCCCGGTCCCGTCCTCGCCGGGCGCGAGCCGGGCCCATCTGTGTGCATGCGGGCTGTGGCCGGCAGCCCGGGCACGCGGGGCCGGAGAAAAGTCGCGGGGTGGAGTAGTACACTCGAGTTAGAATCAGTCACGGAGGCATAATGGTTGATTGAAAAGATTATTTACTTACACCGGAGATGGTTGCAGTGTAGGCTGGTCAGCTTTCCAGGCTCAGCTCCGCTTGAGTTCTCGGTGGAGGACTCTAATAAACTCGGTTCCTTGACCCCGGAGTGAATCAGTCTCCGCGGGGTTCAAGAATTCGTTCCCACGGAGCAGCTGTATCTCCGTGAGTGTTACTCGGTTCCCAGGTCCCCCGGAGCTGTTAAGACTCCGT